ATAAGGTCACTGTTGTTGTTGTTGTTAAGTGCCGTCGAGTCGGTTCCGACCCATAGCGACCCTGTACAGGGTTTCCGAGGCTGTAAATCTTTACCGGAGCAGAATGCCTCATCTTTCTCCCGCAGAGCGGCTGGTAGTTTCGAACTGCTGGGCTTAAGGTTCGCAGCCCGATTAGTAACCACTACGCTACCAGAGCTCCTATAAGTCTGAACTTATTGGATGGTGGCAGGCTTGATTTTCATGTGGCGGTAGAGTCTATTGAATGGAGTCCTGGTGTTGCACTGTGGGTTAATGTGCTGGACTGCAAGGTTGGCAGTTTGAACTACAAGATTGACGGTTCAAACTAACCAGCCGCTCCTTGGGAACCCTATACAGGGTGCCTTAACAACAACAGTCTATTAAATGTGCAATAAGGAGCCCTGGTAATGTAATAGGTTATGAATTGGGCTGCTGACCGCAAGGCCAGAAGTTTGAATCTACCAGCTGCTCCCCAGGAGAAAGATGAGGCAGTTAACAACAACAACAAAGATTTACAGCCTTGGAAATCATCTACAGGATCCTTATGAGTGGGACCCAACTGTGTGGCGCTCTACCACCACCACCATTAAATGTGCAATGTTGCTGTTGTTAAGTGCTGGCAAGTCGGTTCTAACTCATAGTGATCCTGTATGGTGTTTCTGAGGAGCGGCTGGTGGGTTTGAACTGCTACTTTGCAGTTCAAATCAACCTTGCGGTCTAGTGCTTATCCTACAGCATCACAGCAGAACTCCAAATGTGCAATAGCATAATGAAAAAGTTAAAAATACTATGAGAGTCACCAAAATGTGACACAAGGACACATTTTGTGTGAGCTCAGGTTGTAGGAAAATGGTGCTGGTAGACATTCTGGATAGAGATTGGATTTACTTTTTAAAAACCTTCCATTTCAGTATCTGTGAAGCATAACAAATCAAAGTGCAATGGAACGAGGTATGCCTGTAATCTCATTTGAGAACGGGTTATCTCTGTTACGTTCATGAAGCAGCATTATTGTAGAATGTGTCTTGAGTCAATCTCTTTAGAGATATAAAATGAGATTAAACAAGAAAGTACAGAGAAAGAAGGGATAAAATACATGCCAAGACTTCAGTGGCTGGATGACCAGAACTCGACTAGAGGAAGAAAGAAGAGGAAAAAAAAGAGTAATTCCCTACAATTTGATGAATTTGACCTTATGCTTGTGGATGTAGTGGCTCAAAGGAGGGAACATGTCTTTATAGCAAGGATCATTCCCACCTCCTCGGTACACAGGGTCGACAAGGATGGGCAACTTAATCATTGGCTACCCAAAGTGGGGGGGAGGGGGTCTACAAAGGCTGGTTTACAAGCTTTCAAGAGGGAATCTAATTGCAGAGGTAGACTCTCCACTGAGTGGTTTCCAACCTGCCTGGATGGGGCTGATGAAAGGAGATGGGGACAAGACTCTCGTGGTATAATAGTGAATGATTTCTACAGGTCTGACTGTGAGTGCTGGAAATGTAAAGGTAGACATTTTGTAACAAAATGAGGGGAGTGGTTGATTTTGCAGTCTAGGAGCAGAGGTCTCTGGGACTGTCAAGGGAGAGGAGCCGAGTACAGGACCCTATCCAGAGAAGCAGCGACACCAGAGATGGAGGCAGAGATGATGATGTAGAGAGATGGAGCAACTGGGGACTCCAGACTCTGGGAAGGAGAGGGTTTGTGTGTTGACCGCTAGGGGGCAGGCCTGTGGGGTGTACCCTTTGGTTGTTTGATGATGGATGTGGGGAATTGTAATCATTGCAGTAAAGTAGGATAGGATGAATGTGGGGCTGGTGTTCTCCCATGTAGACTATCACATAATTCACACACACACACACACACAAAAACAAAACAAAACAAAACAAAACACATGCCAAGATCCAGGGAGATCTGCAAGGAACCAGGAGGCAGAAGCTGAAAAGGAAAGGCCCTTCCTCCAGAGCCAACAGAAGGAGAAAGCCTTGCCCTCTAGGTGGTGCCCTGAATTCAGACTTCTGGTCTCCCAAACTGTTGAGAAGCTCAGTTCTGTTGGTTAAAGTTAGCCACTTGTGGTATTTCTGTTACAGTAGCCCTAGACAACTAAGGCACTGGGAAGAGTCTAGTGAAGTAAACACTCTCATATATTGCTGATTGGAATGGAAATGGGACACATTTTTCTGGAGAGCAAATGCAGTAACATGCATCAGGAATGCATGTTTTTACATGTTTTTTTACAGGAATGTAAAAGTTTTTACATTCTTTAATTTAGTAATCATCTTTTGGAATGCTAAGAAAATAATCTCAAATACAGAGAAAAATTATTTCTACATAAAAATGCTCACCACAAGAATTTCTATAATAGCCAAATATAAAAACAGGAAAAAGTCTACTGATGAGAATGGTGAGGTCAGCTAGAAGAAGAACACTCCATAGAACATAATTGACTCGAACACACTTAACAACAATAGAACATAATGTAGCCTTTGAACTGTTTATGGAGTATACATGTAGAATGTAATGCTGTCTTATTGTTGTTGTCAAGTGCCATCGAGTCGATTCCGACCCAAAGCGACCGTGTATAGGGTTTCCAAGGAGAAGCTGGTGAACTGACCCTAACAAGAATATTAGTGGTGTCAAATACAATCATATTAGTACACTCTGTTATTGTTGAAACAATTCTAACTTATAGTGACCCCATAGGATTTCCAAGGCAGCAAATCTTTACAGACGCCAACTGCCATATCATTTCCCCATGGAGCAGCTGGTAGGTTGAACCACCAACGTTTTGGTTAGCAGCCTAGCTACTTAACTACTATGTGATGGTGGTGGTGGTTATGTGTCGTGGAGTCGGTTCTGACTCATGACCACCCTGCATAGGGTTTCTGAGGCTGTAAATCTTTACAGGAGCAGAAAGCCTCATCTTTCTCCCATGGAGTGACTGGTAGATTTGAACTACTCACCTTGAGGCTAGCAGCTCAGCTCATAATCTAAGGTCTCCTTAATATTATTATTATTTTTTGTTGTTGTTGTTAAGTGCCATTGAGTCAATTCGACTCATAGTGACCTTTATAGGGTTTTTCGGAAGTGGTTATTGGGTTTGAACCGCTGTCCTTGCAGTTAGCAGTCCAGTGTATATCCTACAGCGCTACACCAGGACTACTTATTGGTGAGGCATTGGTGGTCCAATGATAAAATTCTTGACTCCCATGTGGGAGACTGGGTTCAATTCCTGATCAACGTATCTCATGCACAACCATTTGTCTGTTAGTTCTAGGCTTGAGGTTTCTGCAGAACTTTCAGATTAAGATAAACTAGTAAGAAAGGTCCACCTCTGGTCTGTCAGTTGTCACACTGTGATACCTTGCATGTGATGTTGGAAGCTATGCCACAGGTATTTTGAATGCCACCTCTGGTGAGCATGTTTCAGCTGAGCTTCAATATTAAGACAGACTAACAAGAAGTAGCAGCTTCCTAATGTTTGACAGTTGAATACCTTATGAATAGCAGTGGAACACTGTCAGCCTAGAATATTGAGTATCAAAACCTGATGAATAGCACCAGAAAACTGTCAGATATAATGCTGGGAGATGAAAATGGGGGAAAGTTGCCTCCTCTAGGTAGAGTTGACTATAATAATGTGAATGGAGTAAAGCTTTCAGGACCTTCATTTGCTGATAATACAACTTTGCTCGCTTCCAACATATTATCGGGAGGACCCAGTTCCCAGAGAAGGACATCACGTTTGGTAAAGTGGAGGCTCAGCAAAGAAGAGAGACCCTCACCGAGATGGATTGATACAGCGGC